GAGTTTGATAGAAAGCTTCAATGCAAAATTAAGCAACATAGAAATACAGGGCAACAGAGTCTAATAGCCAAGAGGAGAACTCAAAGCAGTTCTAACTTGTAAAACTTGTGCCTCCTGTTCTATCATACTCTCCTCCAACTGATGCTTAAGATCTTCCAAATGTTGTGTCAAACTACGCTTTGATTCCATCAACTTCTGCAATGCGTCTTGTGACGCTTGTAAACCAGGAAACAAGGCACGTCTTTCAACACTATCCAACCAATCCTTATCAAAACCAAATCTACGCACATCTTTCATTAACTCCACAAAATCAGAGTGACTTGCTCCTAACACATCCAATAGACTATGGGTTTGGAGGAATTTCAACAGCTCAGCAAGACAACTATAGGCATAACCTTTGTATCTATTACTGAGTGTGTTGTCCCTTAAACAAACACGAGGGTGCTTTACAAGGAAATCAATCAACAAAGACATGTTCTCAGAACTCAAATGCTTGTTGGAGACCAGTTGGTCAAGTTCCCTTTTCACAAGAGAAGCAAAACTTGAGTCATCTACAATTTGAGAATGGTTGAAATAAAGACTAATTAATAATTAAGCATCTTGAGATCTCAAAAAATATAAAATTAGAAAAAAAATAAAAAAGCAATGAAAATACCTTCAAATGACACTAAAAGAGACTTGGATGCTACAGGAGCAGTCATTGCAAGAGAGGGCTTAGAATCTGAAACTCCTTTGCCATGTAAAACCTATGGTTTAGCTATTTTTCCATCACTATGTTCCTACACAACTCAAATAAACAAACGATGTCATCATATATGAAGTCTTTTAATATTTATGTAATCAACATCACCATATTCGTTACTATATATTAAGGGATAAAAAGGTGCAGTGACTTACATGTTTCTGAAGTTATTTACTGATCAAAAATAGAGTTTTATCAATAAATTGCACATTCTATGTAAATATTTTACTAAAAAAACTCCAATTTTGGTGAGTAAACAACACTAACGGAACCTATATAACAATAAATAAGTTATGTCGTATGTTAAGTTTGGATGTGCAAGATTTTATTGTATAAGCAATAACATATAGGTTCTTCTTTGGATATGCTTAGGAGTTGTTTTATTGGGAAGGAAGGGGAGAGACAATTTTTTATAAAAAAAAAAATCGATTAGTATAAATTTATATTATAAAAAATATATTAGTCTTGTCCGTCCCTTTTTCCTCCTCTTAACATAACCTTAATTTTCTTCGATAAGAAAAGATTCATGAATGCAAAAGCAATAGACTTGAGCCATTAGTTTCTTCTTGTGCTAAGAAGACTATGGCAGTGTTTGTTTTATCATTACAAAATTAATTCTTAAATAAAAAGCACACATTCTAATAAAAAGGTGTGGTTCAAAAACTAATTTAAATAAGTATCTCTGTCATATTTGTAACATCCTCGTTTTTCCTAAACAGTTAATTTGTTAATATAGTTATAATTTAGATTATAATTCTTCAATTTTTGAAAAAAAATAAAAATAAAAATAAAAATAAAAAAAATAAAAATGCTCGTTTATACCGGTTAAAATTGTTCTATGAGGATAAAAATAGCATTTTTAATCTAAAAGAATTATTTTAAATAATAAAAATTTATATTTTAATTAGAAATAATATTTGGAGTGTAAAAATAATTATTTTGGTAATTATTGCTTATTTTTGAATTTTTGGTAAATACTGTTTTATGTGTTCACAGGAACTGTGTGATTTTTTTTTTTCCTTTTCTTTTTCTTTTTAAGTGATAACCAAAGAGATATTGATGTCAAAAATTATGTTATAATTATTTTAATTGTTTGGCATAAATTATTTTTATTTTTGAGTTTTATTCATAATTATTTTATTTAATTACATTAAAATAGTAAAATAATTGATTATTATATTATTATTTCTTTATATATTTGACTAAATTGACCATTTCTTACGTAAATCTTCTTCTTCTCCAAGTCCATAACCCCTTCTTCTCTCTTATGCCATTTTCATTTTCTTCCACTCATTTAAGCTTGTTTTAAGGTATGTTTTTAATATATATCCTTAATTAAGCTTAATTAGTTGTTAATTATCATTTCATCCGATTAAAATTTTAAATTTTTTCTATTTTTGGCTGTCATGAACAGTAAAAATGGGTCTTACTTTACTTCAAAATTATTGGTTTTTAAACTTACTTTCTTTTGTACTATATGTAGACTATGCATGGCTTATATTGTTTACATAATTAGTTTTTCAAAAATGTGATTAAAAAGCACTAAACCCTCACAAGGGTTGGCTGTCATGTAGTTTTAGAGAAGGTGAAGTGAGTGTTTTTCAATTCCATTTTATTCTTTTATATTAGTTAGATCATAGAAACTAATTTTGTGTTAATCAGACTTTTATAGCAAAAGTTAGAAAATTTCAATTTTTACATATACATATAAGAGTATAAAATTAGCATCTCCTTAGTATTAATTATGTTTAGGCATGATTAATTGATTAGGTTGATCGTTTCGAAGATTGGATTGTTCGAGTTTTCTAAAGAATCAGAAAAAATTCATCCATATCTTCATCAAAGAATATCCGTAAGGTAAGGGGTGGGATAATTTTATTTCAATAGGTGGCATTAAGAACCATAAGGGAATGATTCTCTATTGTTCTAATCAAATAAAATGAATTTGGGTTGTTTTAGAGCTATCCCATAATTTTTAGAAGATTTTGTTATAGCACTTGACATGTGTGAAAGGTTGCTTTAGACCAGGAAATTGATTGAACAAGGACTCTCCCTTATATGTAAGGTCTTTTGTGTATTTAAATTAATGTAATGGAATGATTTATGGTTGAAGTGCTGTATTGAAATATTTCTTTATAATTGGTTGAATTCTCATTATGTGCATGTGTAGATATTCTTGTTGGTAGGAATGCCATATAATAGTAAAGATTGGAAGTAATATAGTTTCATGTGGTGTGAGCATATAGATTGATATAATCTAAATGTCCATTAAGACTTGTTGGAAAGAAGAAAATATGTTTTTAAGGTATATATATATATAATTATGTATTTTATATATAGTACAAGTATCTTTTGACTTCTTTTGAAAATAGATTTAATAAAAATAAATAAATAAATTATATTACTGAGAAAGTAGTATTGGATATTTGGAAGGCTTGAATTATTTTTAAAATGATTAAGTTTTAAATTTTTAAGCATAAAAACATATTTAAAGAAAGAGGGGAAGATACGATTTCCATGGATTTTGAGATGATGGAGGTGGAATTTAATGAATTAGAAGTATTCTGGATTTTTTCTGGTTGTTTTACAGGAAGAAGAAAATTTTGGAATATCTGATTTACAGAGGAGACTCTGTCGAATTTTATTGAGAAAAGAAAAAGTTAAGGATTGTACTTAACAGAAAAGAAAAATTAAAGTTTTTCTCTAATTAATTTTTCTCTAATTACATTAATTAGGAGTGAAGACATGCATCATGAACATGTGATAGTGTGATGAGTGGACAGGGAAGTATAAGAAATCTAGGGGCGGCTCCAGGGTAGTCTTGGGGATAGTGACGTGTGATTGAATCTGACAGTGGCCAAGGCTCGCCATCTTGTGCTGTAGACTCTCACTGCAAAACTTTACTATCCTGATTGGTCCCGAGAGATTCTTGTATTAGTAGAGCTGTTACTGTATTATGAGATGAACAAAGTTGGCAGATAAGTAACAGTGAAACTCCTGATCCTTCCCTGAGTAAAAGAAACATATTGATGGTTTTGGGCCCACATGCATGTGTCAAAATGTACTAAGTTATAATAATGGACTTGCATCACTTCTCATTCATGGCATATGCATTTGCTTGGTAGATTATGGGTGTTGATAATTAATTGTGTGATTGAAACCCTTATATGTCTTTTGCTGTTGGAGATTGAATTAAATTGTCTCACCCTTTTATTGCTATGTGTGTTGTGTGTGAATATGTTTATTAGGTGAGAACATTGATGGCTCGACCACCGTACCAATTCAGCGTCTCGATCAAATAAGATCCTGAGGGAACATGGGTGCACGACTGGGAGCAACAACGATTCACCCACACTGGCTCTGTTACCTTTTTGTTAGATAGAAATGGCCCAGGCCCACGAGCTTACCCTATCCCCATCCGAGTACCCATGAGACTTACTTTTCCATTTCCTCCAGATGTACAATTTGTGAGACCCCCTACCCCACCTCCTGTTCTTGTATTATCACCCCCGGTATTACCCCCAGGTTTTCTTAGACCTTTACGTCCTTCTATACCATATTTACCACCTGTTGAACGAACTAGTTTAGTTGACACACTTTTAGCAAGACCTATCTCTATCTCATCCACTTCCTCTTCGTCTTCCTCTAGTTCTTCAGACTCTCCTGATTCTTCTCACTGTGCAAACACCTCTTCTGCTATCGGAAGGAAGAGGACTGCTTCTCAAGCAGGACTCCCTCCTAATTTTACCTCCTCTGAGTAGGAATCTAGTGGAAAAGGAGAGTAGGATAGAGTCGAGTAAGGAATAATCTATACATATACGTAGGTGTAAGTACTTTTGACTGAAAAGAAAAATGGGTATATAGGAAGCCTAACCTTACCGTTGTTGAATTTTGGGAGGAAATGGGCACTTTGGTGATCATGGATCCAGGGGAAAGCTCGTGAGGTCTTCGTTTTGGGTTGTCGTCTCTGATATCGTGACCCCACTTTAGTTTGTATGTAATTCAGTTATGTATATATTTAGATAACTGGATGATTGTATAAATTAACAGATGATGTGTATATATGAAATGAATACTTCTAGTAATGGTAGTGTATTTAATTTCACTATATCTGAATAGATATAGACCCATGCATGTGATGTTCTTACTGCTTGGTTATTTTATGATTATATTTATATTTATTGCTTAGTAAGTAGTAAGGGTGTCACAATATTCAACAGTGTAAACTCAATTTTATTAAAGTCATTTATACTCAACTTTAAATCAAACAGACACTATATGGTAAACTTACATTTGAATGGGTTTTATGTAGAAGACTATCCAAAGGACTTATCTTGGCATTTGCTGCATCTGCTGGTGAAATGGTTGGTAAGGGTATTTCTAAACCAGTAACTTCTTCCACAAAATCCTCTGCCTTTTGTGAAGGTTTAGCTTTTGTCTCCACAGAGATGAACATGTTAGATTTAATGTCATTTCCTTGAATGAATTCAGTTTGAGTTGCTTGAATAGATTGATTTGCATTGACTTGTGGTGGAGTTAACCCATGATCTGATGTTGCTTGAACTTCATGCCCAATGGGGTAGTTTTCTACAGTTACATTTTCATTGTTGGTATATTCAGTGTCAGAGTCTTTAAATTAATGAATCATGTCTCGTAACATGCACTTGCTAAACCAATCAATGTCAGACTCTAGTGATAAAATATTAAAGATTTAACAACTCGTTTAGATCACAACTCATAAGAAAAAATAACATAGTCTAATTTCAATATAGTAAAACATCGTTTTCAAGTTTCAAGGATATTTATCTATTTTACAAATTTGAAACTTCTTTTTAGTTTTTCTGTTCCCTTTGGCATAGCATTTGAGTTTCCAACAGTAAATAAAATAATTTGTCCTTAGGCTCTTGTGTGCAAAAACACTTAATATGTAAACTTTTACTATAGGAACTTCAATTATTTATATATTTTAACCAAATACATGCAAGAGTACTCACCCGGATTCTCTCTAGTGACAACTGAAAAAGGTGTACTTATTTGGCCACCATCATCGTCCTACACAGATTAAAATAAACAAATGAAATCAGCATCTTCTTAGCCTTTAATATATGTAGGATTTATCTCTCATTGTACTCATCAATACATGTTTCAATTCTGATAAGCACAAATTCGCTACAGAAGAAAAGAAAAAAATAAGAAAACAAAAGAACTAGTGTTAGGCCGCAACCCGCCACAGTTGCATAGCATTTAGCAATAACTTCAACTGCTTAGCACCTCAATTTCATCTTGTTCCACCAAAATATATTGGTTCAAACCACGATTCTTTAAAATTCAATCCAACGTCAATTAATGAATCATAAACATGGAAACATTACTTTGAAGTTAAGGAACATATTTGAAAGTTCTGTTTCATGCAATAAATTTACATGTGGGCATGTTTTATGCTCAGAATTAACTAAGGGGTCTGATGATGAACAACCAATTGATACTGAATGAGTAGGCTGTAACGCCCCTAATTTTGTAATATTAATTATTGTGGATACTGTAGAAGGGAAAAGCAGCAGGATTGGCACGCACTTCAGCTAGCAATGAGACAAAATCAGAACTATCATGAAGGGACTTTCGCAACTGATCCAAGAAAATGAACCTAGGCATAGATAGGATGAAAAATTGACCCTGTTCAGGCTCAGTTGGGCGTGAGAGAGTGTCAGCGACTACGTTATGTTTTCCTGCCCTATACTGTATAGTATAATCATACCCCAACAACTTGCAGAGATAAACTTGTTGATCGGGGGTTTGAATGACCTGAGTCATCAATTCTTTTAGGCTACGATGATCCGTGAGTATAACAAAAGGATGGCCCAATAAGTATTGCCGCCATTTCTTAACGGCGGAAGTTATAGCATGCAATTCCATGACATAAGTGGAAGAACGCAGTAGCCTATGGTAGAAAGGCTTACTAAAAAATGCAATGGGGTGGTCACGCTGCATCAACACAGCACCCATAGCGCATCCAGAGGCGTCAGTCTCAAGCTGAAATGGAAGGTTGAAATCCAGAAGGGCCAATACTGGAGCTGCTGTCATAGCATTCTTGAGCTTGTCAAAGGCTGATTGAGAGACAGAACACCAGAGGAAACTGTCCTTTTTTAACAGAGCAGTTAATGGCGCAGCCAATGAAGCATACCCCTTAATAAAACGTCGATAGAACCCTGTCAAACCAAGGAAACCACGCAAAGCCTTGATTGAGTTAGAGGGTGGCCAATTCACCATTGCCTCTATTTTCGAAGGATCTGCAGCAACTCCATGAGCAGAAACAATATGGCCCAAGTATTCAAGTTGCTGTTGTGCAAAAACGCATTTAGATCCTTTAAGGAAGAACTGTCCCTCAATCAAAATTTGGAGAGTACGCTCCAAATGTAGTAATGAGCTTCGAATGAAGTGCTATAAACCAAGATATCGTAAAAAAAAATGATAACAAATTTGCGGAGGAAGGGTTTCAACAAATCATTCATGGTAGCCTGAAAGGTAGAAAGGGCGTTACAAAGGCCAAAAGGCATGACCTTGTACTCATAATGGCCCGTGTGAGTGCGGAAAGCGGTTTTCTGAATATCAGCTTCAGACATACGGATTTGGTGAAAACCCTGGCAAAGATCGAGTTTGGAGAACCATTTGGCACCACCCAATTCATCCAAGAGTTCATCTATCGTGGGTAAGGGGAATCGATCCTTCACTAAGATAGAATTGAGAGCCCTAAAATCCACACAGAACCGCCAGCTGCCATCTTTTTTTTTTACAAGGAGAACAGGGGAAGAGAAAGGGCTGTGGCTAGGTTGGATCAACCCTGCTTGAAGCATTTCATCAATTTGCTTTTCGATTTCACACTTCTGAAAGTGGAGGTATCGGTAAGGGCGTACATTGACGGGAGAGGCATTTGGTAAGAGGTGAATGTGGTGGTCTGTGGGGCGTGGAGGTGGTAATGTAGTGGGGGGATGGAAAAGGGATTGATATTGGAGGATCAGAGAAGAGATAAGGGGATTATGATGAGAAGGAGGAGTAACAGTGGGGGTGGTGTTAAGGGTAGTAGAGGAAGGTAAAATTTGGATGTGAAAATAAGCCGCACCTGAGTTGGTTTGGAAAATACGCTTTAGTTGGTGGGCTGAAATGTCTTGCGGCCCAGATGAAGCATCAGTTTTTAATTCAATCATTCGGCCCTCCTTAATAAAACGCATGGTCATATTAGAGTAGTCTGTCACAATAGGGCCCAAAAGTTTGAGCCACTGGATGCCCAATACGACGTCTGCTCCACTAATGGGTAGGACATGTAAATCCACATCGAAAGAATGGCCCTGAATCCAGACCGGAACAGCTGGACAAAAATGGTGACACTCGATGATGCTACCGTTGCCAACCATCACCTTGAGAGTGGAAGTGGGTTGCATCGGTAGGTTAAGAAATTTAGCCACACAGTCTTGAATGAAGTTATGAGTGCTTCCACCATCCACAAGAATAGTTACCTGCTTCTTTGAAATAAGGCCCAAAAGACGCAGGGCTTCTGGTGCAGGGAGCCCAGAAAGTGCATTAAAGCTAATTTGGGCTGAAGAGAGCTCTGTCGGTTCAGTCTCTGAAGGAAGTGGATCTGGGTCAGGATCCACAAGAGAGGTAGAGGGGAAAGTTGTATCATCATCTGTTGCCTCAGCGACTAAGAGGAAAAAACGAGCTTTGCACTTGTGTCCAGGGTGGAACTTTTCGTCGCAATTATAGCATAACCCCTTCTCGCGTCGGGAGAGCATTTCCTCATGAGTGAGCTTCTTGTAATTGGTCCTGGGAGGGGTAGGGAGTAATGGAGGAAGGGGACGGCCCGTTGACGGCAAGGGAGAAGGAGTGGAGGAAAACGATGGTGGCGAGAACGAAAAATGATTCCGTGAGCCTTTGTGCAGATCATGAAACTTGTCCTCTTGCAATTTAGCCAAAGCTGCGGCCTGAGTAAAGGTGAGTGGTTGTAATGCTAAAACCTCCCGTTTAATTTCAGGGGAGAGACCTGAAACAAAGCAGCTTAAGAGAAAGGAGGGAGGAAGACCAACAACACGACTGGCTAACCTCTCAAACTCAGTCAGGTAGTCATTGACAGAGCCTTTCTAGGTGAGTTTGAAAAAGAGACCACGAGGATCTTCGTAGTAGGACGAAGCAAAGCGGGTCTCAAGGGCTTGGAGGAAGCTAGGCCAGGACTGAACCAAGCCATTGTGGTGCACCCACTGAAACCAGCTGAGGGCGGCACCGTCCATGTAAAATGAAGCGACCTTGAGGCGATCCTCTTCGGGTGTGGAATGGTACTCAAAAAATTGGGTTATCTTGAAAATCCAACCGGTAGCATCGTGCCCATCAAACCGGGGAATGTCCAGTTTCATGTGGGGTTTGAGGAAGGTGGAAGAGGTAGAGTTGGAGTGGGGGGAGGGAGGTTGAGGAGCGTTGGAAAGGTCGATTTGAGAAAGTTGGGTGAGGATGGAATCAAGCTTAGTGTTAAGCTTGTTTTGGGAGTTGGTGAGGAGAGATTGGTTTTGGGTGAGGCGAAGGATGGCGCCGTCGATGGCCTTGGATCGGGTATTGTGTTCAGCCATGGATGGTTTTGGAAAGGTGTGCAATGAAAGCACCAAATTTTTAGGATTAAGCATCCTTGATTTCGAGGATCAAGGGACCTCCTAGAAATAACGGAGAAGGAAAAGTGGAAATATTTTCTCTGCCTCATTCATTCATTCTATTAGGTATTTAACACAGCTCACGTTGCCAATGATTGGCTACCCGTGATTCACGGAAACAGAAAGTATTACATACTGAAGGAATCTAATAACAGAAATACAACTCAGCAATAAAGGAAATACTGACAAAATAGACGGTACTAGATCAGTAAATAGAATTTCTATTTGGTGACAAAGTCACTAAAGTAACTTGGCAGCTTGTAGCCCCTTTTGGGCCTCTCCCTCGTGATACCTTCATTGGTGTTACTTGCTCCAGCTGATGCAACGGTGTTTGGGCCAGAGTTTGTAGGGCCGTTGCTATCATATTTCTTCTGGTTTAACTATGCTCGTTCTTTCGCCTGTCCATGCATCTCAACACTTCTCTTCTGAGTGAACCACATCCACCTTCTTTCCCTGAAATATTAGTGAATTTTAAGTTATTTTTGTTAATATAATTAACAAGGAAATATCACTTAACTTTTTTTTTTGTCTGTTTCAATTAGTGTTCCTTTTAATTTCAATTTCTTTTAAGAGGTTAAGACAATATGAATATTTTATTATATTCCATCAACACGTATTTGTTGTCTATGCCAGAACTTTATTTTATTTTGAGACATACAACTTTATTTTTATTTATGTCTAGACTATTAGAAAATTAAATTTATAACGAAAGTCATAAATTTTGTGATAAAAAATTGAAAAATCATTTTTAGACATTCTGCGTGAAGGTAATGTATATGTTAATTTTTTAACTGATTTTTTTAGAGAACTTATTCATATTATGATTTCAAATATTAGACCTCACTTTTTATAAACTTGAAATTAATTTTTGATATTAGGAAACTCTGAAAATGTAATTTTTCTCATTTTTTATTATTTCAATTATCATAGTTGATTCCAAGAAGTAATTAACGTAATAAGTTTTTTATGACAAAAAGCATTCATTATATTAAAATTATAAAAATATTTTTTCAATAAATAGTAATTTAAATATTTAAAATTAACCGTTAAAATTAATTCTAATAAAACCGATAAAGAAAAAACTAGTTTGATTCTGCATCAGAAGATGGTGAAAAATTAGAGGCGGCAAGCAATCCTGAGAAAGTGGACGTAGAAAATTGAGGAGTTGAAGAAATACACTTACATTGATATTTGAATTATGTTCAATAAACCAATAACCAAGATTTTTCTTCCATTTTAAACTATGCAGAGTCCTTCTTCATCGATCTCCATGCATCTGGATACTTCTCTGCAATTTCAGTTAATTTTAAGCTATTAGAAAATCAACCTTCACTTATTCTTTTAATTTCGCTCATAATTTTAACACGGACAAGATTTAGTTGACGAAGATTTTGGAGTCTCAATGGAGCACTAGATCTAATATTGCTTTAAGCTCATGACAAACTCAAATCAAGAATGGGAACAACAGCGTAAACAAACGATGCAGAAACTGGAAAAAATGAAAAAGCAAACAGAAGCGAAGGTAACTGTGAAGTCTTAAGCTCATTCTGGAGACTTCGATGACATCAAGTGTGTGAACACTGAGCCTCTCCTTGTCTTCAGCGTGGAGCAGCAACCAGAGAATAAGAAATTGTATGTTCTGCAACTGAGAAACTATAAAGGCACCAATCTGCAAGGAAAACATATGCCATAGCAACCTTGTATTTCAAATTAAAATAAATAAATATTCCAACTATTAATAATAAATTGAACGATTTTATAAGAGTAAATTTAACTTCTGCTATATAATATGATAGATTATTTTATGCTCTCTAATAATTAATTAATTTTATATTAATAAACATTGCAAGTCTAAAGTCTTGGTCTTTTGTTATTTTATTTTATTTTCAACTACTCCCCACTCACCCATTAATTAATCCATTCACTTGCAAGTTGTTCATTTTTCTAATTAGTCCAAATTTTAAAAGTTGCAAGTCTTATTATCTCCCTATGTATTTAATTTAATAATTTTTGTTAAAAAATTAAGAAAACGTGATTAACTAATTTTTAAAAATAAGCATAATTTAGTTATTTTTTTGCTTATATTTGATACTAAAGGGAGTATTTTAATTTACTTGTGTTAGTCAATTTAATTTTTAAACTTTGAAAGATTTATATTTATGATATGATGATGTTTAGTATTGTGCGTGTATTCAAATTCTAAACGTTTACTATGCCTAAAACAATATTCAGATGCTGAACATTTTCCATATATTATACCTAAATGTAACTTAAGTACATGAAAAAATAAACAATACCAAACTTTTAAATGTAAAGCAAGTCAAGTGCAGTGGAACCAATTATTTGGTATCAAAATCAAAACTGTGTTATATGCTAAAATAAATTTACACGACTTTTTATGAAAAAGTACTTACATTTTTATAAATAATAAGTTAAAAAAAAAGCAAATTTTCAAGGAAATCAGGGAACAATACTAGTGGAGAATATTGTTTTAAAAAAATTAAAATCCTTTAGCATTTTGCAAATAAAAAAATTAAAAATAAATTTAATAATAAAATTGCACATATTATTCTTTATAAATATATTTTTGTATTATTCACAATTTTTAAATACTTTATAAATTGATGTTTAGAAAAAAAATTAAAAATTCTTTTTAAAAGAGAAATCAAACATACTCATAGACTCCTGTCAACAGTAGGGGAAAAAAATTTTAATTTGGTCCTTGAACTAGGCAATCATTCAATTTAGTTCTTGAAAGAAAAAATAATTAAAATTACACTTCTTTTAAAAATTAATTTTGTTATCATGACAATTATTTATTTAAATATTTTTATATAATTTATGTAGTCAATTTAAGAAATAAATTAGTTTTTTAGATTTTTTTACTAAATTTCCTTATAAATTTTAGTAAAACATATTTTTTAAAATTTATTATATTTTTATATGATTGGCATGAATTATTTTATTAAAAGTTATATTTTCTTTAAATAATTATAAAATATGATTTCTTAGAACGAGAGAGGACAGAGCGTTATTATATTGTGTGCATATGCTACTTAGCGGGTTAATTTTGTACAATATGATTTCTTATCCAAATATTGAATTATGATCCACTTAAAATTGAAAATAGACTTTTATTTTATATTTTAGAATTTTTACACAACTTACATAAATTATATGAAAATATTTAAATAAATTATTATTATGATAAAACAATTATTTTTTTAAAGAGAATTTGATCATTAAAATTACACAATTAATTATGATTGTAATATTTTAAATACTGCTCTTTCTCCATTATTGTTCCTTCTTAGACAAGATGTTTTAATTTTTAATTATTAACTTTTTCTAGATCTTATAATTGATTTTCTTGTTTCTGAACTGTGAGCCTCGTTTATAAAAAAAAATTAAAAAAAATTCAATTAACTTTATCTATTCAATGACTTTTTATAAAATAATACACTCTAATTCTATTTTTAGTTTATAAATATTAATATTATGCACTAATGTTTTAAGACAATACATCTACAGTGCTTGTATTATGTTGTTTCTCCAAGATTAAATTATGCACATTCCTTCATCTCTCTCCATGCATCTCAACACTTCTATTAGCTTCTATGTGAACCACATCCACCTTCTTTCCCCGCCACATCAGTTAATTTTAAGTTATTTTTGTTAATATAATCAACAAGAAAAAATCACTTAACTTTGTTTTGCTGTTTCAGAAATCTGAAATTTATTTTATTCTCAAAAATTAACTCATAAATTGAGATTTTCTTAAAATATAAGTATTCTTTTATTACGGACAAGATTCTATTGCCAGATTCAACACACATAAAAAAAATATTTGGTACTGCAGATCAACTTGTTGAACATTTTGGGCACTGAACTGGAGCACTGGATCTAATACAACTTTAAACTCATGACAAACTCAAATCAAGAATGGCGCAAGAGCACAAGAAAATGATCAATAGGAAAAGTGAAAAAGCAAACAGAAGAGAAGGTGACTGTAAAGTTTTAATCTCATTCTGGAGACTTTGATGACATGAAGTGTGTGAACACTGAGCCTCTGAATATGAAATTGTTCTGCAACTGAGAAACTATAAAGGCACCAATCCATATAGCAACCTTGTATTCCAAATTCAATCCCCTTTGGATAAAACGTAATTTAATTAATTCAATTTGTGAACATTTAAAGTAGAGAATAAAAATTTGTAAGCAAAGTCTGATTTATACTGAAATAATAATATGCAACCTTCAACTTTGCAAGTCTTGGTCTTTGTTATTTTCTTTTCTTTTTAACTACAGCCATTAATTAATCCATTCACTTGCAAGTTGTTAATTCTTTTAATTAGTCCACAACAAGCTGAGCACATTCTTCCATGTTGAATTTAACTATGTGATTTAAACGGAAAGGGTTTAAAATACTTCGACGTGTATACTTGATTCTAGGTTGAGAACTTTTAAGAATATTAAAACGAATGATATATAGATCAATTTCAATGATATAATTATTAAAAAATAATTATATTGAAAATATAAAAATTTGATAAAAAAAAAAGCTTGGTATTTGAAGTTCATGTGATCAAGATGTACTTCAGATAAATTTATCTTTATCTTTTATCTTTATTAGACTAAAAAAGTTCATGTGATCTTTTCTTAATACTTCAATTTAACTTGATTAAAATTCAATAATTTATATCAAAAACCGTCAACTTAATTTTTATAAAATATATTAGTTTTAATGTAAGGAACTGTTAAAATATAATTATTATAAAATATAAATTAATTATTGCACAGATTTGTTAGTTCATTTGGCTCATGTGGAGTAATATGATATGATTGTAACAAAGTATAGACGAATCTAACATAAATTCAAAATTATAATTTATTTTCTTTTAAAATTTACTTGGAGATACTTAATTGTGATTGGTTAAAAAAGTGCATTACTAGCATTGTTTTTTTTCTTATTGATGACAAATATTGGAAGACAGAGAATTTATAAACTCACTCTGAGGAAGAGAGTGCAGAAAGTACTTATAATCTTTTGATTCTTTCTATTTTGAAAAATGAAAAAATCTTCCACACCGACTCATATTCGTTTAAAATTGGTCCTTCTCTCACATTCACAACGCATTCATTCTATTTTATTTTTCAATTACTCCCCACCCCCACAGTTTATACAACTGGATAATCATTTAAAAATGCAACTCTTGATCTCATGTTTTTAATTTATTCATGTTTTTAAATTACTCAATTCCTTTAAAATGGGTCATTGTCTTGTGTTTATTATTATCCATTCATAATTAGCAAGTGTCCATTTTCTACAATTTTAATAGTCAAGTGGCCATTCTTTTTCTTTTGAAACTGCTTATCTTGTATTAGTCCAAAGTATTTACCTCAAAAATACTAATAAAATATTATTAGACAAAGAACTGTCATTGCCCATTCCATTATTAATGGCGCGATTGTGGGATCCGAGTTCCTCTCCATACGCGAATTCAATGACTTCAGACTTTGTTTCCATTTTTCTTTGTTAAATTATTGTGTTTGTTATGAATTATTTAGAGATTGCAAAATAACTTTTTATAGTTTAAGTGTTTGTAATTAAATGTGTAAAACTTTTTTTCCTTATTGATGACAAATATTGGAAGACATACAATTTATAAACCAACACTTCAGAAAGTTGAAATTGAAAACTAAATAAATTGTAAGTTCAAGTGCCGCGGGAAAAGAAGATTACAATATGATGACTTAAAATGTAGGAAAAGATTATTTGAGATTTGCAAAGGCTTCTTTTGCCATATTGTTGGCATGTTGAACTTCTTGGACATCAATCTCTGAGGAAGAGAGCGCAGAAATTAATTGTGCACTCTGTTGGGCCCATTGAGTGCATTCAGCCTTCAACTTCTCCTTTTCAAGATCACACATTTTCATTGTTAACTTCAAAGCATCTATTTGATGCTCCGTATCTGCCACTTGCTTTCTAAGATCATCAATTTTCAAAGAAAGCTCATCTATTTGAACCTTGACTGTGCAACTTTTATTGTCGATGTGTGCTTGCGTGCTTTTTGCCCTTGAAAGCTTGTTAAGAAGATCGTCTTTAGATTGGAGAAGTTGTTTGTGCTTCTTTATTACTTGTTGAGAAGTTGTGTGTTTGCCAAAGTAGTCATTGCAGAAGTTCTCCACGTTCTTTTTAAAATACATATAAAATATACGGTTTAGTGCATTTTATACTAGGAATGAACTACCTAAGAAATATTCAAAGTTCCAAGGCAACATGTAGCAATGGAGAAATACAAGAAAAAACACAGTCTAATAGCCAAGAGGGGCACTCAAAGAAGCCCTAGCTTCTAATACTTGTGCCTCTTGTTGAATTATACTCTCCAAAACAGCTTCAGAAGATGCCACTTGATGCTTAAGATCCTTCACATGCTGAGTCAAAATGCGTTTTGAGTCCAGTAATTTCTGCAATGCATCTTCAGATGCTTTTAAACTAGGAAACAAGGCACGTCTTTCAACACCATCTAACCAATTCTTGTCAAAACTAAAACTTCTCATGTCTTGCATTAATTCCATAAAGTTGGAGTGCTTGGACTCTAACACATCCAACACACTATGTATTTGGAGGAATTTCAGTAGCTCAGCCAGACAAGTGTAGGCATAACCCTTGTATTTGTTACTAAGTGCATTGTCTTTTAAACGAAGAGAAGGATGCTTTGCCAAAAATTCAGTCAACAGAGTCATGTTCTCAGAAGCCAAATACTTGTTGGAGACCAGTTGCTCGAGTTCACTTTTGACAAGAGAAGCAAAACTCACATCATCCATGTTTTGAGAAGGGCTCCCTAAAAGTTAATCAAAGAATAATTATGCATGAACACAAAAAAATATACTTAATGTTTTTAGTTTTGATAAATATGATGAAATTTAATTCTAGTGTTTTTGAAAAAATTGTTGGTTTTGATTTTCATAAATTTTAATTTTTATAAAAATGATCCTTGTAGTGTCCTTTATGATGACATGACATATTTCTAATAATTTCATATCAACAACTATTTTGAGTAGCAAGTGATATAATATACTTAAATGCATGACACATTAGGTATCCAAGATTATTTTAAAATGTTTTCAAAATTTATGAGACTAAAATCAACAATTTTTTAAAAGACTAAGCTAAATTTAATCATATTTACAGGTACTAAAACTATACTTTCTATAAAAAAAATTAGCAAAAGAAAAGGGGCAAAAGTACCATCAAATGGCATTGAAAGAGACTTGGATACAACATGGGAAGGGATGCTAGGAAAGGGCTTAGAATCTGAAACTCCTATGCCATCATTGTTAAGAAACAGTTCCTCAACAATTGAGCTTACTTTCATGGAAGCATCACCATTCAAAGAAACTAAACAAAGGGAGGGGGAAAGAGAGTTCAAAATCAAAGCACAAATGTGGTAACATAAAAAAAGAAAGTGGATGCATGAGTGAAGACCTGGATCATGACAGTTAGTAAGGGCAACCACTGTCTCTGAAGTTTCTTGAGCATAGGGAGGCTCTGTAGTGACACCTAAAATAGATGGTATGGTCATTTGGCCATCACCATGTTCCTACATAGATTCAAATGAACAAATGTTGCATCATCTAAGATACTTTTAATCTTTACAGAGTCATCCTCTTTATATTCATTAGTACATTATATCATCCTCATTTTCATTGAAATCAATGAATTAGGAACATTACAATATTACTTTTAATCACACAAACACATTTGAAAGCTTGATTACATATAGTAAACTTACATGTCGATATGTTTCCTCCTTAGAAGCAACTGATTGACCTAATGATGAACTAACTAGTTCTGAACGAGTTGATGATGTTATAGACTTGAAATTCGCTGATGTAGTTCCTTCTTCAACATTTCTCTTAATACCCTTCACATAATCATAACGATATTTAAATTCAGAGCACTCTTTCACTCTTATTTTGATCAATGCAATGAACTTTAACACGGAAATACCTTTTGTAAAGGAGATACTAATGTTCCTAGTGCTCTGTTCCTTGTTTCCGACTTCATCAGTGGAGTTGCTGTTGTATTTTTCCCTGACATAGAATCTCCTTGAGTACTTTGGTTCTCTCTATCTTTCAAATACTGTGTACCAAAAAAAAATGTAAATAAAGTACTATATATTTCTGAGAAAAATATTTGAAGTACTTTTCATTTCCTGTCAATTTTTTTTAGCATCATGTACATAGTTAGGTGGTTGCATTCCATTATTTCCTTGAGGAACTTCAAAAATAATCTCAGTCTTTCCAAGTGGCTGTCGTTCTTTCATTGAAGAATGTTCTCCCATTGGTTGTTCGTCCAGAAACTCCTACCATGAGATCAAAAAGCAATAGTCTTGAGCCATTAGTTTCCTCCAATGTTCAGAAGACTATGATCTTATTTTCTTTATCATAAAAAATTCAAAGCTTGCACATTTTAATAATAATAAAAAACATGTTTCAATCAAAATCGGTGATCTAGATTAATTTGTGGTATATATGCATCTCCATCATATTCAGTGATCCAAAATCAATTTCACCATCACTCAGCTTTAATTCGAAAAGATACTATATGACACACTTACATATGAATAGGTTTTTTGTGGAGTAATATCCAAAGGACTTGTCTTGGCATTTGCTAAATTTGTTGGTGAAATTGTTGTTATGGGAATTTCTAAAGCATTAACTTTTTCCACAAAATCATGCTCTACCTCTAGTGTTGGTTTGCCTTTTGTTTCCACAGAAATGAACTCATTAGACTTAATGTCATTTCCTTGTTGCATATATTCATCTTGGTCTGCTTGAATAGATTGATTTTCGTTGACCTGTGAAGAAGTCAACTCATGCTTTGATGCTGCTAGAACTTCAGGTTCAATGGAAGAGTTATTCACAACAAGGTTTTCATTGTTAGCATACTGGGTTCCAGAGTCTTCAAGTTCACGAATCATGTTTTGTAGCATGATCTTGATAAACCAGTCCATCCCAAACACTATAAATAAAACATTATAGATTAATGACTTATTTAACAACTCATAAGAAGAAACAATACTTTCAATCATAAATAATCATTTTCAAGTTTAAAGGTTAAATAGTAATTTTGTTAAAAAATTTAGATAATAAAAGATGGGGGATTGATTATAGTTGACAGAAATACTAGGCCAAAGATATCATATGTTGAATTATATTTAAGGATTCTAAGCTTATATAATTATGAACAAGCAGTATGTGCAATGTTGTTTATAAAATACAATGTATAATGTGTACCTTCATCAACGGCCAGCTTCAAGCTGTCCATAGTTAATGTTGAAGTCAAAGCAAATTTTGGACAATTCTGGACTAAACTATGCTCTATGGCATGGAATTGAATATCCTGGTTGAGGCTTGGTAGTTCAACAAGTAGTACCATTTTTAAATTTGGAAGCTCAACTTTATGATCACCTTTTTTGCATCTGAATACTTCCTTTAATTCCAACGCTTCTTTTATCATCAAAATTTCTAGCATGGGAAGCTCTCTAAATTTGGAGATAGGAAAGATACATTTCAGCTTGTTGCATTTTTTGACCACGAGTACTGCTAGCTTTGGGAAACATGTCCTTAGGGTAAGATAATTTGACATTTTTGAATTTCCCACATCCTCTTCAATGATCTGCTTTAATTCTTTGCATTCGTCTATGATTAAATCATGCAAATGTGGTAGGCATCTTGAAACAGAAGCTGGAAATATAATCTCCAATTTTTCACATCGCACAATATTTAGCTTTGTAAGGTTTTGGAGGGTAAAAGAATTTTCAGGACCTACAAAAAGATATGTCATTTGAGACAAATTACTCAACTGAATGCTGTGTAATCCTAAGTTTATTGGTTGTACAATTATTTCACTAAAACAAAAAATATTTTCTGCTTTGGAGTTATGTACTTGGAGATCTCCCAAAGTGGAAAAATGCTTCATGTGCTCACTCAAGTCCTACCATAAATAATAAATTGAACATGATCATATTAAAAAATATATATATATTCCACATATTAACAACAAAGATATTTGGAAAGAGGGGTACCTTGATGAGGTTGCCATCCAATTGACTTGGATCCGAATGAACAGTCAAATCCCCAATAGATTTAATGGTAAAGTTGGGGCATTCATTGAGTTCAAACACCGTCAAAGATGACACTCTTGGGTGGTAATTTTCAAGACACATGCCAATCAAATTTGGCAAAAAGCGAAACTTAAGACATTCTAATACTGGAAGATGAAAATGAATTTCATTCTGGTTTTTATGATTATCAGGGTAGTTTCCAAATATATATTCCAATTTCTCACATCCTTTCACATAGAGCTCTTTCAATTTTGGGAACACAATGCTCCAATCATTGCCACCACGATCATCTCCAATGTCTATTATTATGAACTTTAATTCGTCACAATGTCTAATTCTCAAAGTTTCTACCAACATTGTTGGAGCAATAGATAGGCTAAATATGAATTCTATCTTCGAAAGATATTGTAGTACAAGCTCTTTAATATTGCGTAGGATCTGTGACTGTTTGGAAAGACATTGAGCACTTCTCCAAAGTTGAAGAGTGTTTGAATCCAGAACCTGTAATGTAATAATCTCGTTAAAAGGTTCTTAAATCAATGAATTAGAAAAACTAGTTCATACTATAATGTATCAAAGCTTCTAAACACTCAAAATGGTATTCAATATCAAATGCTATTAATATCCAAGAAAATATACAATACTATACTCTATACATTCTAAATTATTTGATATTGTGCATATAATGGTATATTTAAGATTGAGATGTTTAATATGAATAGGGGAAATAAATATCTGTAAAAAAGGTACCAAAAGATAATGCAGAAAAGGAAAAGATGGTTACCGATGAGACAGAGTCATCTTGTGACTGATCCTTGGAAACTAATGAGGATTTAGTACTTGTGGCATTCCTCAGTTTGTGTCTATATTTATGAGCATAACAACATATATGCATCCAGGGGGTGATACTACCTTTGATGGGGTTCAACTGTTTTTGTGCCTTAGAACCATTTCTAGAATATATCTTCTTGACGGAGGAACACATGGGATGATGACATTCAGGAAAAATGTCAATGAAATTTGGCAAGCCAGAGAGCTCCATTTCTTTTAGTGAATGAAGTACAACATCTTTTACCAAGCCTTGGCTTTCATGTTGATGTTGATATTGGCCAAATATGTATTTTAGCTCATCACAATCATATATATTGATAGCTTCTAGTAGAGGAAGATCTTGATCAGAAATGAAGGGAAGTATAACTTCTAATTCAGGACATTCCATGATATCAAGAGTTTTCAAATTTGGAAACATGGAGCCACCACTCTTGTTATCATTCATGCCATCAATTATTTCTTCTTCTGTTATTATATGTTTTAGTTGCTCACAATCATGTATTTCCAATTCCTCCAACAACACTAGGCTTTGAGAAGTTGAGAGTTGAAAAAGGGATTCCAACCTTGGACAATTGGACAATCTCATAGTCTTAACATTGCAAAGGTTTAGCTTGCCCTTAAATAATATACTTTGCAGAAGATGACAATTAAAGACAAATAGCCTCTCTAAACTCTTCAAAAGGTGAAAAGGAATGGGACCATTGCATAATTCTCTCAAATCATCCATATTTTTAAGTGTTAGCACAACCAACTTGGGAAAGACAATTTGTTCTTGAGAATAAACAAGTCTAGTATCAATGAGGCATTGTAATTTAGAAAAAGATGTCAAATCAAGATGAGATAAATCTTTCATACCTTTATCTATTGGAACAATCTCAGGTATGAGATTTTTCCATCTCCCCTCAATTCCTCGCAGGTCAAGAATTTCTGCAGTTTGCACAAGATACTTAAATGTTGCTGTTTCTGAGAACAAGGCATTGATCTCTGAAAAATGCACACATTTTAACATTGAATCATTTTTCTCAAAAACATACCGATTTGTTAAACAATATCTTTGCAATATAGGAATATTTCTTATTTGATAAATTGCAGCACTATCAACCTTGGAGATAGGGTCAACAGTAATATACAATTCTTCTAGTGACAAGCATCTTTCAATCACTTCAAATGAACCATTCCTTCTAATTTCACAACGGTCCAACTTCAACAATCTAAGTTTCTCTAGTTTCTCAATTTCACTTGCTAATTCATCAATGAAACAACGAACCAAATCAAGAGTCTCAAGGCTCTTTAAGTTCCCCAGAAAAGAGATGTCACCTAATTTAAATCTTTCAAGGACAAGAGATCGAATATTCATCAACGATTGAATTGACAATGATAATGATAAAGTTTCCCTCAGCAAAGATTTATTAGATAAACACAAAACTTGAAGCCCTGTCATGTTTTCAAAAAACGAATTTGGGACTTCCATAGAGTCCTCTCCTTTATCATCCATGTAGATAGTTAGAATCTTAAGTTTGGAACCATCAAACTTACAAGAAAACACATCCATGCATTTGCCGTCACATAACAAATATTTAATATTCTTTTCCCTTTCTATCAGTGACTTTTGATTTTTGTTAGACACATTTACGACTTGAATCTCTTTGTTAGCAATCAATAGGGCCACTTCACGAACCAAGTCATGCATTTTCACACGTCCTTCCCCACCCTTCAACAATAAACAAGAATCTATGAGTTTATTTTTGGCTACAACCACTTGACTTCGAGCATCATCATATTTCTCATCTATTTCTCCAAAAAGGCCAGCTCCTATGCCAAACCTGGTTAAAATTTCAATAGAAAGTTCTTCATCTTCTTTAAACATAGAACACAAGAGAAACAATCTCTTAGCACTTTCATTGTTCATATTATCATAGCTATACCTCAAACATTTATATATTGGAGCCATATTTTCATCAACACCATGCATAGGCACAAACTTCAACAAGGACTTTAAGGCTGCATTCCATTCTTCTTGATGTTGTTGCCCTTTTAAACTGCTACCAATAGCTGCAATTGCAACTGGTAATCCTTTGCATTCTTTAGCAATCTTTCTCCCCTTGTCTACCAAACGTTTAGATGAACTATCACTTATACCTGCATGCTTCTTGAACAAGATCCATGCATCTTCTTCAGATAAGAGCTCTAGTTGAATAATCTTCTCACACCCTTGTGATTTGCATACCCATAAATTTCGTGTGGTTAAAAGAATCCTACAACCCTTATGACTATCACTATCAGGAATCCCTATTTCTTCAAGATTTACATGCCCCCACATATCATCCAGTATAAGAAGAATTTTCTCACCACTAGTTAATCTACTCCACAATATTCTTGGTCTCTCAGATTCATTATAATTCTTCAAATCCAATCCTAAGGGTGCTGCAATATCATCTTGTATCTTTTTTATATCGGAAGTGTATGACACTGTAGTATCGATGACAAGATCAAATTGCTTGGATTGCTTAAGTTCCTTACCCAACTCTTTTGCCAATGTAGTTTTACCTGTGCCTCCCATCCCTTGTAATCCAATTATATAACTACTGTAATCTATGAGTGCATCTGATAGTTCTTTGTATTTCAACTCTCTACTTTTAAAAGCAATGTAATCATGAGAAGAATGATATTCAACATCTGGAAGATTAGGAGTGATTCCAACACTTTCAAAGTTACTTTGCATGAGTCTTTTCATCTCCAATGCCTTATTTGTTAGTTCTTTTCCTCTGTTGTATCTCCATTTGCAATTAGGACACCATCCAAAAAGACATGTTTGTTCTTTTGTTTTGGTGTCTTCTTCAATGAGTTTATCAGCTTGCTCTTGCCAAACAACAACATCTCTTCTAATATCTTCTGCTCTTCTATTTGCCAATTTAACATATTGCTCCACTGTTGTTCTTTTTGCTTTCAATGTTTCCTTCTCCTTTTCAAAATCCTCAACTATGCATGTGAAACAACATATGTAACGTGATTCTGCTAATGCATTGTTCACCAAATTTTCCACTATTCTCTTTCCCCAATCAAATGCAATGCCCTCCATCTACATCAAGTCAAAAAATGAATTACAAAAATTATATTCTGCAAGAGTATGTGAAATTATGAAAACTAAACGGCAGAACAAAAAAAATTAAAATAATATCTTCATCACAGTTAAAATACAAAAAATTTCTGCTACATCCTACAATGCCTTGACTTTGATCCTGATCCCAATCTTATCAAGTTTTGAATAATCAAAAGTACTTGCCTTTTATTCTTTTATTTGATAACTTCTTTTTATTTAAAATTATATTAGAGAATTAATGATATCATTATAGGGGTAATAAAGAAAGAAAACACTAAATAGGTTTGAAATTTATACCATGAACTCAATAAAACAAAAAACCAACCTATGAAAAGACCAAGTTAAAGGCCTCATCTTTGCATCAATACTACTTTTAAAACTGATTACTGGATATCTTATAAAAACAATAAAATGGAAAACATGGTTTGCATAAATAATTTTTCAAAAGCTTTTTATAAATTATACATTTACTTGAAATAACTTTATTTTAATTTTCTATTATAACTCCTTTGTAAACAAAAGTAAAAAAAATAAATTAGAAATATAAAATATTGAAATCAAACTTCTTAAATGAAAGAGTCATAGAGCAACAAACGTTTTATTGGTTTTTTTTTTTTTTTAGTTTATTTGGAGTGTTATTATTTTTAAATTGGGTGACTGAACTAAGTTTTGTGTGGGCACTTTTGTGAATTGAACGAAACTATACTCACTGAAATGAGCTGATCTAGGTGCCTATGGAAAGCTAACAGAAAGATCAACAACTTTGATGTTGTGGTAAAAATATAAATCAACATAAAAAAAAAAAAAGGTGAAATTCTCACTGTCTATACTCTGACCTTTGTGTGGCTAAATCTTGGGCTGGAGATGTTGGATTTGAATGAAACTATAGCCGAAGTAAAGCAAGCAAATAGTGCTGCAATTTCCACGAGATTCCAAGTCCAAACACAGCCATTTGGATTTCATCAAATGCCCCTCCACGCAATAGAAACGATCCTACACAACGAAAACAAACTTAAAGACCATAACTTGGTCATATTTTAAGTGCAATTTACATGAGACTTGGACTGATCATGCATGCAATGCAAACATATCATATATATATAGATAGATATAAGCATTGAAAATGCAAACATAACTAAAAGTGCCCATTTTATATTGTGATTCGTTTACCTCATTTTCAGCACACACTTAAGTCTGTCCAACTCTATTCGCCCTTTCTCCAATCTGAAGCAGCAAAGACTAACAACGTTTGTGAGTTAAACCTCTCTTTAGCCACCCTTCAAATTTTTAAGTTCTTCAAACTATTTTCAATTACTTCCACTCTGACACACACGTTGGAGGTGCCCATTCATTTACAAATGCAAATCTTGATTTTATATTTGTAATTATTTTATTTGTAAGTCTTACTCCTCTTTCTTCTTCTTTTTTTTAATATGCTTCCACACCCAATTCTTCATTTATGTGACCATTCATTTGAAATACAGCATGTCTTATTGATTTCATATTTATAATCTTTTGATTCTTTCTATTTTAAAAAATGAAAAAAATCTTCCACACCGACTCATTCGTTTAAAATTCGTCCTTCTCTCACATTCACAACACATTCATTCTATTTTATTTTTCAATTACTCCCCACCCCCACAGTTATACAACTGGATAATCACTTAAAAATGCAATTCTTGATCTCGTGTTTTTAATTTATTCATATTTGCTTTCGAGTCTTTTGGTTTTATGTTTTAAATTACTCAATTCCTTTAAATGGGTCATTGTCTCGTGTTTATTATTATCCATTCATAATTAGCAAGTGTCCATTTTCTAAAATTTTAATAGTCAGGTGGCCATTCTTTTTCTTTTAAAACTGCTTCTCTTGTATTAGTCCAAAGTATTTACATGAAAAATACTAATAAAATATTATTACTGTCGTTGCCCATTCCATTATTAATGGCGCGATTGTGGGATCGGAGTCCCTCTTCATACGCGAATTCAATGACTTCAGACTTTGTTTTCATTTTTCTTTGTTAAATTATTGTGTTTGTTATGAATTATTTAAATTATTTTTAATTGGATTTTATTATTAGGGTTCTATTTAATATAAGAATTTCATTATAAATTTTAAATAATTCAGTGACTAAATCAATAGTTTAATATTATTTAGTAAACTTTTGAATTATTTTAAAAAGTAATTAGGTCTAGATATCTAATAAAATTTAAAAGAAAATATGGTCATATAACTAATTGAAAAATAATAAAAATTTTAAATTTATTTATAATTTCTAAAAAATATAAATAAAAATGTATTTTAATATATTTTTTATTTTAGAATTTTGTGACTTCCCGAGAACTAATCTACCGAGTTAATGGGTTGAATAGAATTAACATTTTCTTAAGTTCTAACTTGAATGACTTTAGAAATAAAATAAAGAATGCGAATACCCCTTCGGCCTCAGTAGAATGAATATCCCTTTGGTCAGATTAAAAATAATTAAATCAATTAAGATAAATAATTAAATCATTATTTATTTAATTACAGGACTAAAAATCAAGATTGATTCACAAAGTCCAATAACCCATAAAAATGCCTATAAAAAGAAGGTATGAGGTATAGGTAAGTAGTTGACTTTTAAACATTAAATAACATTTATTACCTAAACCGATATTAACTTTATCATCGGTATACCTTTTGTAGGTATATCTCCCTATGCCAAACAAAAGGAGATTCATGTAACGTCCCTAATATAAATTCAATAGTCCACCTGAATGCATAACATATTTATTGAACGAAAAGACATGCAACACCTGTATTTATACTTAAATACGTGTTACAGGGGATATTCTTATATAAGGAAATTAGTGTCCACAAATGCATTTGCTATATTTACACATATTAGTACACGCATTTATGAATTATATATTAATTATATGGGCATGCGACACCTATTTATCTATTTATAAGCCACATGTATATAAATATTTAACAACTTTCATCATTTTATAATAACATGGGGAAATTCTCTTTTTATTGAACATAAATTAGAGTTTAGGAATAACACCATTGTAAGAATATATATATATATATATATATATATATATATATATATAATCATTTAATGTGAAACATCATCGGTTGCAATACATTTACAATGAGTACATAGGGAATATGAAATACATTTTGAAATAACTACTTACTCTATTTAGACTCAAGAGCAGTTCCATACTATATCTATACAAGGTGACAGTTGCAAGTGAAATCTATCAAAGGGAGTACTCCCTTGTGAGGAGTTCGACCACGAGCCTTGGAGAGCTCAACAAGTTGGATTCAAGGTCACCAACACCTGAAAATACACCATTACGGAACCACGTCTCGTCTTTTAATAGTAAAATTGACCATTTGATTAAGTCCCAGATCATCTGCGCGCGCACACACACAACAAACAAACAAGGAAAAAGGTACAAAACACACAAGAGGTGAGTCCATAGACACAAATAAAACAAATCAACCCATACAACAATTCAAGGAGTACATTCACAATTATCCTACTTACTCAATCTCCACAATTCATCACACGGTAACATAACACAATTTGCATATGCAGGATGATGCATGGCATAAGTTTCTTATGAAATTTTTTCTTTATTTAGTCACATGATGCAATACATGGGAATCCCAGTCACTTGAAACATTGTCATATTCTTTTAACGTCAAAGGCATTTGGAGGACTCCATTCCCTACTTTACATCAAAGCACATTAGAATTATACATCATTTTGTCGACAACACACGCCAAAGACATCCTGTTTAGGAATGGACCTATCATAACCTGGTAACGTAACGGGTGTTCACATCAGGATTGGTAAGGGTTTGCTAGCGACATGACTCGGTCACATTGAGCTACTCTGCGCCATTGGGTCATCCCCCTTTACCACCCCCAAAGTTCGCTATGAACCTAACACAAAGTGTCCCACAGCTGTGTCAACTGTTGTCTTGACGATTTCTTCTTTCACATGTTCATGGTGCATAAAAATCAATTTTATCATTTCTTTCTTTTGACAAATTTACTTAACCTCTTCCTTTTCTCTAAGGATTCAATATTCAAGCACATAATCACCCCACATGTGTGTGCTAATTACCAAACACTCCTTTGTCGACAATCATGTACATTAATAACAATCAATTTTACACTAAGGTTCTTAGTTCTTGCCATAGATTTAGAGGTTAAATCCACAACATAAAATGAATTGACAAAAATATAGCACTTTTAATATTTCCATTGAATATTAAGTCACACATAACACCTTTAATATACGTATGTGTGTGTATGCCTATTGATAACCCAACTGGTGGTTCAGGGGTTAGTAGTATCCTATATTATTCACTATAATATACACATAATCTTATTTAAACATGTGGCATACATTGAACCGCACACATAAATTCTGAATATTCACCAAATTTAGTTATTGTACTCTACACATGTAGTCTCAACATAATTTTGTGGCATTTCAAACTGTTATGGCACTGATCTTTAAAATTATAGGATTCTTCTCTTTTGAATATTCACACACTTTCACTTAACGTACCAGCACATAAGCATATACACACAGATTAGAATTCATTCTTATGCTACATTGTAGAATTTATGTTAACTAAAGGTTGTAAACATCTTAGGACCTTCAAGGGAAGTATCTCTTCTAAAATGGAAACACGGTACGGCCTTATGCAATTGGATACTCCTTTGGTGTAATAACTTACATGCGACGGAGTGACGAATTGCCTTTCCTAGATGCAGACAAGCACATATATGATAGGGTGTGGAAAATGTTCTTATTAATATGAAATTATGTGTATGATGGAGTGCAGGAATTATTTCATTTCAATGCATAATTTGTATGTGAATAAGTGCAAAAAAATGCTCTTTTTGATGCAGAAATGAGTGGATGCAATGGCATGGAGAGAATGCTCTTTTTACTCGAGGTTAGCAT